TAAATTTCGGCCGAGTGGTTGCATGAATTTTTAATGCGGAAATAAGGCACCCAGATAAAGAAAAAAAAAAAAGAGTGACGGGGAAATTACGCAAAGTGTCGAAGGTGTCTCGTATCAAGTATATACACTCCCTTATATGCGAGTATCGCGTAAATAGACTCCAACACGGCTTCGAATCGATACATATTCTATTGACCGCGCTTCTACACCGCACGCACGTACTCACGCACACACACGAGTAAACGCAAATGAATGATGGGTGGGCGTGTCGGTTCATCATCGCGTCACAATATTTGTACGGGTCGTCATGGCGAACACGCGAAACGATTGTCTCTGTTTAATCAGTGAGGGTGGACAAATTGCGGGCGTATTTTTAATGTGCGTAGAAAATGTCCTCCGACGCTCTAATGATCGATTCGATTGACAAATTTCGACTCTTTCTCTTTCGAATTAAATATCTCGCTAGTCCTGCGCACAACTCGAAAGAAACATATTTATACATATATTTATGTGTATTTATTTATATATATTTATTATTATATAAAATATTTTTAGATGTGTTTTATATTTTATATTTTATTTTATGTATGTAGAATTTTATACATTGTATTTTTCATAAAAAAATGAACATCCTTTCCTTTGGCAAAAATTTTTCTCGAAAGAAAAATATATATACATATATTTATGTGTATTTATTTATATATATATTTATTATTATATATAAAATATTTTTAGATATGATTTTATATTTTATATTTTATTTATGTAGAATTTTATACATTATATTTCTCATAAAAAAATGAACATCCTTTCCTTTGGCAAAATTTTTCTCGAAAGAAAAATATATATGCATATATTTATGTGTATTTATTTATATATATTTATTATTATATATAAAATATTTTTAGATATGGTTTATATTTTATATTTTATTTTATGTATGTAGAATTTTATACATTGTATTTCTCATAAAAAAATGAACATCCTTTCCTTTGGCAAAATTTTTAGAAATGTATCGTCTTCCCGAAATATTTTATTCTCTTAAATAAATCAATACAAAGCATTTGCTATTTGATTCATCTGAAAATTTTGGCTGCCCAATTCAATTAAAAATTTTGGCAATTTTATTATAATTAATTTAACATTTACATTTTTCATAATAAATAATTTGAAGGAAATTTTTGAGACAATTTTTGAAAAGTTTCTTCATCGGATCCTTTTCGAAACGACTTTCCTTCGAAAACGCGGAAAGTTTCGAGCAAAATCACGGCGCGTTTCACGAGAAGGAGAGCGATTCGCGATGCGTCGAACGGAGAAAGGGGGAAAAAAAGGATTGCGAGAAATTATGGTGTTGCAGTGTTTTGTACAACTCAGTCAATTAACGCGTGGCGTGCTGGTTGGCATATAATTATCGCGGCGACGCCGGCCGGTGAAAAAGTTTTGAATCCATCAACCTTGCTCTATCGCGCACCGAGAGGAGAAAGTGCGCGACGACGAGAGGGATAGTGAAACGCGCTGCAACGTCGATGCAACGGGAGCGTTCGTTGCATTCGGTTGCACTCTCATCGTTCGACGGGATGAGATCTGGAGCGAGGGTTAAAAGAGTGAAGGATCCCTGATCCTCGAAAATGTCTCTCGTTCTTGTTGGATTTGCGGGATTGATCTCGTTTGTCTACAACTATTATTTTATTTTCAATAAAATTCTTGTCTTTTCTTAATGAAAATTCTTGTCTCTTCTGAATGAAGAAAAAATTTTCAGATTGAAATTCGAAAATAGCAAATATGGCTATAGTAAAATGTACAGCCTGAAATTTTGATTAAATCCTGATATTTTAATCACTGAAAATATTTCTCGTATATTTTCGACCGTTCCAGAGATTTAACGCGAAAAAGTTCCAAAAGTATCTTATTCTTTTCTATATATATATATATATATATATATATATATATATATATATATATATTTTAATTACGTTAGATATTAATATTAATTCTTTCAGCACGAGATTTTTTAGACCTAAAATGATTTCATTGTATTAAAAATTTGTTTTTATATAATAAGCCTCAAAACAACTAATAATAGTTTAATGTTACATTTTTTTGCATTCGAATCTAGAGCTTTTGTTTTCGCTATTTTTTCCAGAATAAATAATGTATTTTTTTTATCTATTGGTGATTTTTATCTTTTTAATGAAAAGAAAAGTGTCTTGTTTAAATTATTAAATGTAAAGAATTAGATAATCGAGGTCTACCAATTGCAAATTTTTTCGTTTCGAACTAAATTTTTGTTTATCAACAATGCTTTCAATTAGTTGCGATATGAAATCAGAAAAAAGCGATAAATCTAAAGGATTTCTCAATTTAATTTAAATTTCTGTACTATTTTTATTCTATTAAAACATCGCAAGACATTTGATTGAGATTTGAAAAGTTTCGATCGCGAGATATTCGAATTACTAAATATTAATTAATTTTGTAGTCAAGTGCGACAAAGGATTTTAATGCGCAAGATAAAACATATTTTAAGATGCACTATGCATATGCAATTCCAGCGTGTTCCAGAGTGTCTATTCAATTTTGTAAAAAAATTCTCTGATTTTCCAGGATATTTTCGTTCAAAGTTTCCAAATAAGGAGACTCTTTTAGAATTTTTTTAATGCACTTTTCTATAATAAGTTTTTTTATTGCGAGCGTTTTCTAATATTTCTCATTTTTACGAAGAAAATACAAAGAGCTATTCAAGTTTCAAATGCTAGATTTGAAGATGTACTGAATAACTTTTTTTTTGTAAGATAAACATTTTTCATTCTGCATAACATTTTTAATTTTTTATTATTAAAATTACTAATAAAAAATATAAACTAAATCCTATATTCTGTTAAGCTATCGAGTACGTAAACAGAAATATAGATGTAGATATTTATAATATAATACATTTTGAACACGCACAATTTAATTGGCTCGCCAACTGGTTACAATACATATAAGAGCAAAATTATCAGAGCGAATTTAAAAAAAAATCCAATAAAAGATTTCAAAGAATTCTTCTCCGTTTTTTCTCAAGTGTAAAAAAATCCCCTTGAGAATTTCAGATCTTTCCAGGGAATAGACACTCTGAATTCGATCCTTTCGCGACGATTGTAGAAGGACGGAAAGTGCGAGCCATAAAGCAGACGTTTCGTGATCGATTCCGCGAATTCTCGTGAGTGTTTAGCCAGATCGAATCGCAATCCGGGAGGAGAGTCCGAACGACGTCGACGACGAGGGGGGAAAGGAGGAAGGAGGAAGAGCAGGGCCGGTGGTATCGAGTTTCCGCATCGGTACTTCGGACGAGCCTGCTCCAATCTACATAGGTGCCAAGCCGAGTCGCCAAAAATAGATCGAGTTCACACGAATTCTACGAGCCGATCGCACGAAACCTCCACGGCTACCGTTTTCATGCGATATCGATCGGACGCGACGGACGCTCCCGACATATATTGTGTGTGCATCGAACTTCGAGCTACGATTGAAAATCACGCTCGCGAAAACGATCCGAGTCTCCGTGTTCCTTTTATAAATGCGGGGAAATTCAGCCTGTATACATATATTTATATACGATTTTATTTAGTGCCCTCTCTTGAATGGAACCAGATGATATCATCGATAAAAAAAGGGAGAATCAATTTGCGGCAATGGATGTTTCGATTATTAAAATGTTGTATTCGAAATGTTATTAAAAAAATATCTGAATTTGATTAAGAAAAAAAATCTGAATTATTTTTTGTGAATTTATTACATTTCAGTATAATTTTGTAATTAATTTATCTTTAAGAAAATTTTTTTTGTATTTAACTTATTTTTATAATTCTTTTGTATTTATTTTTCTTGTATTTAATTAATTTTTATAATTTTTTATATTCAATTTAATTTTATAATTTTTTGTATTCAATTTATTTTTGCAATTTTTTTCTACTTAATTTATTTTAAATCACTTTTTTTGAAATAATGACTTTCGCAGACATGTATCTAATATATAACATGTATAATTAAAAGTGCAGAATTATATACAATTATGTTGCAAGGCAATATGTAAATAAATTGGAGTTTCTTTTTAAATAGTGATTTAATATAAATAAAAAAGCGCGAATGTCTTTATAAATTCCAAGTCACTTAATATGACACGAAAGAATTATTTTGCGGCGTGTCTCTGTTTCCCACCCTCTTTCTCGCTCTCATCGCGTAAATAAAAAAATTACACGCCTCGTGTAAAAATAGAATTGCAAGCGTTATGAAGAGAATCGACTCGGGGCCTCGACTTTTCGAAACAATCAGTTCGATCAATTTCAATCGATTAGACTGTCAAGATCTCGCCTTCGACGTGACTAAGGTGTTCCCCGGAATGTTCTCGTTAACGAAGGCGCGCACAAGTCTCGAAGAGGACTCTTCGCGCGACGAAAATCATTCGACTCAGTCATCGGGACGATAGAGCTGCTAATCATACAAGAGAGAAGAGCGGAGCACACGCGGTATTAATCAGCGGGTACAGGAAATTAACTTGGCCTTGTTTTATCTTGCATTCTGATTACCACGTCTGCGCGAGAAACGCGCAGCTCGCCTTCTCTCTCTCTCTCTCCCACCGCTAATTAAGTATGTGCATCTCGCTCGAAGGAAGCGATCAAGGACACTCTTTTGCGAATAAGGCGTACAAACTCGTGTAATAGATGCGCGTACAATTTTTCTTCCTTCAGATCGAAACGTCAAATTAATTTCCCGACACGTCGATATGCAAAAAATTCACTCGACACGTGTCAATGTATCGGATTAGGTTCAATTACGCGAGACGTCAATTTCTTCCTCGCCATTTATAACGAGTATCCTATCAATCCAGCCTCGATAAGATCGTAATCTGCTTAAAGCTGGCTATTTTTGCTATCGTATATTTTAATCGAGCGAGTTATGCGAGTCTACTCGCTCAAGTATGATAATCGTAAGAGAAGTAACGCAGCTTAGGTACTTACCAGGCGTCGTTTCGGCTTGATGAGGGGTCGATTCTGGCCGTTCATCTTGTAATAGAGGCCGCAGGCGTTGCAGAGGTAGTGGCCGGTGCCGTCCCGTCTCCAGAGAGGCGTCGAAGTAGCTCCGCAATTCACGCACTCGCGACCCTCTATCGGGATTTCCATCCCGACGGAATAAAAATCATGTTAATACGGTCCAGACGTTACCAGCTCGTAGGGGCGAGAAACGTCAGATCGAGTCGCCGGAACCAGCCTCCTCGATCGCAGACGTTTCTCGCGCGAACTCGAAAGCACGTTGATCGCCCGAAGGAGGCACCCTCGTCGGCCCCTCTTTGAAATTGTCGCGAATGCACTGGGGGGACTCCAGTTCCGTCGAGGGTGCCAATTTTTATGGTGAATTATTCTTGTAAACTCCAAACGTCATTCTTCCGGTAGTTTAAATTAGGTTGCTGTACACGTGAAAATATATTCCCGACGCGAGAGAGAATGACTTGGACGATCAACGTGCGTTCGCGAGGAGAAATTTGCAAGACAGTCAGGTGACTCGTGAGAGAGAACTCGCATGCAGTTGCAGACAAACCATACCAAGCGATTACCAGAGCAAAAGCAGAGTCTCCTTAAGACCATGGACTTTTGTAGGATTCACGGATCGAACTTACGTCAGAGTGCGGTAGGTTAGTCCCAAGGACATCGTGAGAGAAGGAAGCGGGTGTCGAAAGTGGAGCAAGGAATCTGGGGTTTCTCGTTCACGACCATTCGTCCCTCCCAGTCTGTCGTTGAACCAGGTGACACGAAAAGACGGGTATCCAAATTTATATCTCTTCATCTACATCATCGTGTCTCTTCAGGATACAAGTCGGAAGCTTCCTCTCTTCGCGGTGAGAGAGATAAAAATTTGGATCCTCGAGGAGAGGAGAGAGGAAGGAGGGAGAGGGTGGGACGAGACAGCAAGGATCGCTTCTCCCGAAATGCGCGTCTCCCGAATCGTCCTCCGAGCTGCGTCCTCCGCGAGGATATGGCCGAGAGTTTATCGGCCGCTATACTGAAAAGGATCACTATTAAGCTGCGTCGAGAGTCGTTTCCGTTGGCGACCGAATTGCCGATTTTGCTCGCTCGCGATTATACGATCGAGCGCGATTCCCGACGTAAAAGTAAATCGGTATCGTTCCAGCGGCCATTTTCGCTCATCTTAACGATGCTCGTAAAAGCCGACTACCTGCCTATTAGGATCGCGAGTCCTTTGGCGCTAATCAGATCTGTCGTCGATACATTTCATGCACGTGTGTGTCAATTATAAAATTTATAATGCAATTTGTGTTGCGAGTATTTTAGGGTCGCACGAGAATCAAGACAATATTTATAGTATTGGTATTGAAAATTTTCGAAAACTTCAACAATCTTGAGTGAATTTTTGTAGCAAAAATCTCTCGTCTCGATTTTATTAATTTTTATATAATATTAAACGATTAAAAAAATAATATATTTAATATACTCTTTATAATATAATTTAAGATAAAAAATTGTTACTATTTATGACATTTGTTTATTTCCCAAAATTCACAACACACACATATATTTTCATTGTCTTTATGAAAAGGCAGTTTCATAATCGCGTAAAATTCTATACTCTTTATTGTATTTAATAAATTAATTGTTTGTAAATTTATTAATACGATTATTTATTAAATAAATTTTTTAAATTCATATATAATTTTTTCTCACCTCTAATTTCTAAATATACATATTTTAGCTTCTTTTAAAAACAATCTTAATCTCGATAAATAATTAAAAATCTCGTCTTGATTTTCGAGACGAGACAAGACAAGATAATATCATGAGTAATCTTGGCAACTCGTGCAACCCTATAGCGTTTTAAAAGATGATATTAATGCCAAAAAAGGTGTCGGATGATCGTGTGTAATCGCGGTATCGATTGAACCGCGCGTCGCTGATTAACGACCCGACCTGGATTTAACGGCGAAATTTGACGTTGCGGGACGTAATTCCGGCGCACGTAACGTAGGTCTCACGTATATAATAATTGCCGACACGCGAGCGGCTCGTTTGCGGGCCCCACCGGTACGTATGCAGATGATCCCATAACGGAAACGATCGAAGCGAGTCCATCTTTCGTCGACGCTTCTAAGGCTCCTCTCGCGAACGAGATCCTGCGTGAGGCCTAAGCTAACCGGATCCGACCGAGACTTAACGCTCGCCCAATTGCCGTCTCGATGGCCGGATCGATCCTGGAACTAATTGGAAGGACCCACCCGGACTCGCTCCTCGGCGCCTTAATTCGATTTCGGTCTTATCGAATCCCGGCAGATTCCAGGGGGTGATAACGAGCGTCGTCGTCGTCCTTGTCGATGGCTGCGAGGACTCCTGATCCCCTCGTGTCGACAATAACCAAGCGACGATCAATCTCGGTTCCTCCTCGCCGCTCTCTGATTCGATTTCGATCCGCTCATCGCTGATTAAATCGTCATCTTGTTGTTTTCATACTGGACTGTTTTCCTCTTTGCTCAACAGCGGTTGCTCTTCTCGCATCCTCGCCGATTTGTATTCATCAACGATCGATTAATGACGATAGTTATATACGTCATTGATGATAGCTTCCAGCTGGATTTTCCCTTATTACACGATGCTAGGCTTCTATGATCGATCCGAGGGAACGGGCGGACAATTTTCGGACGCGAACGATGGATATCAGCCACGAAATACATCGACGTGACGCTCGTTTGCGTCGAAATATAGTTCTCGTGTCAAAAGGTGACGGTAAAATGGCCGATTTCACCCCTAAAGCGTTCGACTAGCTCTCCCATTTTCAGAGTCACCTCCGACCTTAACGCCAGGCGTGCAGCAAAGTGCGCTTCCGTTTCGACTTTCCCGAAACTTTCATTACGACACGAAACACCTGATCGCGCTCCGGAAATAAGATTCTCTCGCAATTGCTACTTTGTTATCTCGACATACATATCAAATAGGAACATTATGCGCACTGAGAAAAAATCTGATTGCATTAATTAGAATTCTGGTAGATTCAACCAGTATGTCAAAATGGACGAACCAGAATTCATGTAGGAATTATCAGATGAATCTGATTAATTTCTTCCTGTTAAATTTACCAAATTTTCTGATTAATAATACTAAACTCGCCAGCACCAAGTCGTCTAAAATCTTTTCCATCTAATCTCAAAAGTCTGTTTAATATTCTGAATTCCAATAAGATTATTGGATAAATTCAATCCAGATTATTGAATAAATTATTTTAAATTCAGTTGCTTAGAAATTAAACTGATAAACAGTGATGCGAGAAGAGGATGCAGCTCAAACACACACAATCAGAGAGCTAGCGTCCTCTTTCTGGCACTACTGCTCGTAAGAGAAAAAAAATATACTTTGGATTTAATGTTAATACTACTTCTTTACATACATTTCATGGCAAATGTTGAATGCGAGTTAAGTTAAGAAGCAAGCAAAGAAATTAATGTAACAAGAAATTTGATAGATCCAACCAGAAAATACTAATCAAATCCTTATAGTAAAATCTATCAAACGTTCTAGTTATAAAAAATCGAGTCGTATCACGATAACTAGAAATTCTTGTTTGATTTAACCAAAATGCCTTCAATCATACACGCCTTGTTAATACAATCAAACGATTTTTCTCAGTGTAGTTTCGATAACTTGAATCCGAACTCCGAAAAAAGGAACGTCGACGCAAACGTCAAATCACAGCTGTTGACTCGGAAGAGGAAAACGCGCGATTATTTTTGTCCCTCGCGCGATATTTATAATTATCTTTATTATTTTATTATTATATTATTCTTAATTATATCTATAATTATCTTATCTCTTTCTGGCACTACTGCTCGTAAGAAAAAAAAATATACTTCCTTTCAATTTAAAAAAAAAATATACTTTGGATTTAATGTTAATACTACTTCTTTATATACATTTCATGGCGAATGCGCGTTAAGTTAAGAAGCAAGCAAAGAAATTAATGTAACAAGAAATTACGATAACTAGAAATTTTTTATTTGATTTAATCAAAACGCCTTCAAATCATACACGTCTTGTCGGTGCAATCAAACGATTTTTCTCAGCGCGGTAATTTTTTATCCCCTCTAATTTTGTTCACGTACCCTTCTAACTTTCCCAGGGACGCGTTGAATAAAACAAAACACACTAGAATTTGCCAGCGAATTTGTCGACGAGATAAAAGATCTCCATCTGGGAGGAAAATCCCCTCGTAAGCGTTTCGCGAGCCGATCGTAGCCCATTGTCGATCGCGGAAACAATAACGGGCGAGGGAGCCCGTATTTAGGCCCGGGAGGCACACCGGTGGTCGTTGGAGCGCGAAAGAGGATCGGCAGAGAGCGGAGGCGGAAGGAAACCGCCGCTTGTCCCGTGCCACTTCTGTCATCAACGGCCGAGTTATGATTCAGTACGAGGGAAGCGGCGTTCCGTCACAAATCTCGCGCTGGCCCACGACTACCTTTCCCCTCTCCCCCTCCCCTTCTCCGCCACCTTTCTTCCTCCGTTAATTGCCCGTCGCGATCCTCTCCTAAACTAACGGGACCCCCGAAGCAAAGCTTCTCCTCCTCGATGACTCTTCGTTTTCCACCTCGTCCCTCTCTTCCTGGCTCCTCTCGCGCAAAAGGATCTTTGCCAATCCCTGTCTATCGTGTTTCCATTGCTCAAACGACACCTCCTCTTCTCAGGCACCGGCTTCTCGCGGCCGCCACCGTTGCGTAAAGTCCGCTTTTCGCGGGCGATTTTCTCGACGATGGCAACGGGTGCCCTCCGTCTGGCTTCCTCTTTCAAGAGAGTCTCCGACGCGACGCGGCGGCCGCCGTGTGTCGGTAAGGGCGTGTGTGTGTGCGCGCGTGTACGTGTATACGTGTGTCGTAAGTCGATTCAATTAGCGGGCTTCCATGCCGCGAAGCCGGGGGCCATTGTTCCCGGAATTGGGATTTTTACCATGCCGCCGGCGCCGCTACGCTGCCCGAAGCAACCGGCCATTATTACCGCAATCAGCGTATCCGGCATTTTTCAACCGTTTCTCATTTCCCCGCCACCTCCCTCCTCCCCCCTCGCGGCTCCGTCCGCGGCGAGCGTCGCAATTTCTCGCGGGAAAAGAAAGAAAAAAAAGAGGAAAAAATCTCCCCCCCCTCCACCCCCCCCCCCCGGCCAGGACTCGTCGTCGCGATCCGCGAGACGAGAAAAAAAATTGTTCGCCGAAAAAATGGTCTCCGTGGACTCTTTGAGAGGGAGCTTTGCCGTGACAAAAATAAAAAACGCAGCGCTAGCCACACCACATCGAAAAAAAAACCTGTGCTCCTCTTCCGTGTTCTTCAACATGTATGTATTTCTTGTGTGTGTATGTGTGAACGTGTCTGAGTATTTATATAGATAAGGATATACATATAGAGGTATATATATAATATATATTGTGTGTGACATCTTTCGAAAATCGGGTGTGGTGCTTCGCGCTCGCTCTCTCGAGTGGGTGCCACGCAAAAAACACATCAGTGAGGCAAAATACAAAAAAGATCACAGTCACAGTGCCTCCCTCCCTCTCTTTCTCGCTATTGTGATATTGCTCGACCGAAGAAAAAAAAAAAAGAGAAACGGGTGGATTAAGCGTAAGACGACCGTCGCCGAAAAATTCACGGTTAAAAAAAAAATCAAAAATAAACGCAAGAACACCTGTATTTTCCCCTCCATTTGTTTGCCCGTCCAGAGGCTACGATTATTCGGAATATTTTTAATAATACTATAAGAGATATACCGACTGGACGTCAAATGGGGAGAGAAATACAGATGAAACGAAAATGATTTTCAAGAGAAACTAAAAGAATTTACTTCGTAAAAGTGAAATAAAAGCAAAAGAAATTGATAAAAAATTTAATCGAACGTAAAACGAGTGGGAGAGGTTTCAAAATTAGAAAGAAAGTGCATTGGCGTCGATTCTTGACAATGATTTGAATAAATTTCACGAAATATAAATCAGATTTTTCGATAGTGCAATATAATCAGAAAAATTAAATGAAAATGAAACTGTTGGAAATTTACACGCGAGTATCTTTAATTTTAACAATCGACGCCGGTGCAAAGAAGCAAAACTAAAGAAAGCAAACAATGATGCAAAGAAACGCATAATAAATAATTTAAGGAAATCCCAATGTTAATTTAACGCGGGAAAAATGTCATTCATCATTCGTATCTCCTCGAATAACAGATCGTATATTAAAAAATAAAAGAAAAAAATATTTTATAAACCAAATATGTAAAAAAAAAAGTCTCAAGGATGTTTTGCATGTACAATCCCAGCAAAAAGTAGCTGAAAATATTGACGAATATCCACTTTTGGTGTATTTTGAGTTAGAAATTGTGTGGAATATTACAATTTGATTTTAGCTAAAGCGCAGAGATGTATTTTTTAATATTTATTGCGTTTTTACTGAAATATTCCGAATTTTGTTAATCGAAATGATTAACTTTTGGCAGAGAATTTCGTCTTGTGACAGATAGATGGCTAACTTGATTGCATTATATTTAATATCTTTTTAACCAGTTAGTACCCGTATAATACTATTTGACCAAATATTTCCTCTGTATCTAAACTTTTGCAAATTTTCAACAAATTCTGAATATTATTTCCATGTGTCTTTGTCATTTGAATCGACGTGATTATACGTTTCCCATAAGAACACACGTTAATTCGGTGCAAATTAAAATCCTTATAACACATGAATTCAATTTAAAAATTGTACCGAATATTCTAAACATACATAAGGACAATTTTCATTAAATTCTCAATCTTTTAAAAATAGATACAAAACATCCTTAATATCATTTTTTAATATCATTTTTAAATGTAAATAAAAACAAATTAGTTAAAAAAATCTCGTCAAATGTTCACCGAACCGTTTCCCATAAGAACACATGTTAATTCGGTGCAAATTAAAATCCTTATAACACATGAATTCAATTTAAAAATTGTACCGAATATTCTAAACATATGTAAGGACAATTTTCATTAAATTCTCAATCTTTTAAAAATAGATACAAAACATCCTTAATATCATTTTTAAATGTAAATAAAAACAAATTAGTTAAAAAAATCTCTTCAAATGTTCATCGAACCGTTTCCCATAAGAACACATGTTAATTCGGTGCAAATTAAAATCCTTACAACTCATGAATTCAATTTCAAAATTGTACCAAATATTCTAAACATACGTAAGGACAATTTTCATTAAATTCTCAATCTTTTAAAAATAGATACAAAACATCCTTAATATCATTTTTTAATATCATTTTTAAATGTAAATAAAAACAAATTAGTTAAAAAAATCTCGTCAAATGTTCACCGAACCGTTTCCCATAAGAACACATGTTAATTCGGTGCAAATTAAAATCCTTATAACACATGAATTCAATTTAAAAATTGTACCGAATATTCTAAACATATGTAAGGACAATTTTCATTAAATTCTCAATCTTTTAAAACTAGGTACAAAACATCCTTAATATCATTTTTAAATATAAATAAAAATTAGTTAAAAAAATCTCTTGAAATATTCACCGAACCCAAGGGAAGGCGCTTCGAGGATCGTTTCCGAGACATTTTCCCCGCATGAAAGAATATTACAGAACAAAAACAGAAGGATAACAAACGAAACCGAGGAGAAGGAAACCCAAGGAAAAAACGAACCCAGGAGAGCCCGAGGGACGAGGATAACAGAAAGAGAACCGTGACAGAGACGCGCGTGCCGCTTACCGGCGGACGTCCTCGACTTGTTCCTCGGCTTTTGCTGCTGCTGCTGCTGCGCGGAGGGCGAGCCCGGCGTGTTCCCGTGCGCGTGACCGACTAGCAGCTTCGAGTCCGCGACGCCGGCCAGGCCGCCGCCGGCGGAGGCCGCGTTGCCGGCCCCGGCGGCGTGGTGACCGAAAATACCGGCGACCGCGCCGCCGTTGTGCGGATTGTGGGACGACGCGGCGGCGGACTGATGATGATGATGGTGATGGTGGGGGGCGGCGGGGTACTGAAGGTGCTGGTACATGTTGTACGCGCTCGCGGCCGAGTCGTACTGGGAACCGGAAGTGGCGTGGTGGCTGTTGGCCGCCGCCGCGACGGCGGCCGCGGCCGCGGCCGCGTAACTGTCTCTGCAGGGCGAGACCGGGCCGCCGCCGCTGCTGCCGTTGCTGCTGCCGTTGCCAGCCGAGGTGCCACCGCCGCCACCGCCGCCACCGCCGCCGCCGCCGCCGCCGCCGCCGGCCGGCACCCCGTTGTTGCTCTGATACGCGTCCTGCTGCTGTTGTTGCTGCGTGGCGCTCGCCTGTTGGCTGCCCGTCACATTCCCGGATTGGTTATTACCTTCTCGCTGCTTCACCTGGCCGGCGGACGAGCCGTTGGTGCCGGGTCCGTTGCCGTTGTTAGAGCCGTTGTGCTGCTGATGGGGCGGCGAGGGCGCCCCGTGATGGTGGCCGAGCATCACCGTCGGCTTGATGTCGCACGAGCCGGCGCCGGACGCGCTCAGCGCGTCCTGGTGGTGCATGAAGGCGCCCATCACCGCCGCGTGGGCGACCGCCGCCTGGTACTCGCTGGCGGCGCCGCCGCCCAACCCGGACAGGGGGTTGCCGCTGTTGTTGTTGTTGTTGGCGCTCGTCGAGTTGTTGTTGTTGTTGTTGTTCGTGCTGGAGGTCGTGCTGGCGGTTATGCTGTCGGGGGTAGCGTCCTTGGGCGGCGTCGGCGGGAAGGAGAAGAGATGGTGGCCGGCGCCGCCGCCACCGTGACTCGACAGGCTTCCGCTCGTGGGCGGCAGCGAGGATCCCAGCGGGCTCTGCGGCTTCTCGTCGCTCACGGCGCCGCCCGTGGTCGCCGTCGTCGCGGGGAATCCCCAGGGCGTCTTCGAGGTGTCGGCGCTGCTGCCGGACAGCCACGGGTGGAGAACCGAGCTGTGAAAGTGCGGCCGGCAGACCTGGCTCACCGGACCGCTCGACACGCCGCTGCTCGACATCCTCGCTGGAAAAGCGAAGCAAACACGTGAGACGCGTTAGGTGTCGGATGATGTCATGGATGGGTTATATCTACGATCTAGGCACTTCTATCGGACGAGTAATAAGTTTCCACGTCCTAATACCCGCTGATGGAATCATCAGGCGCTCGCGACTCCGATCTGCAAATGGGGTTTTTTACGCTTGAAATGAAAGCAACGCGAGCAAAACAAATGTAATAGACGTTGAAAGCGCTGATCATATTGGCTGATTTCAATTACCGCGGCGATAAATACTTTTTATTGACTCGGTCTTGTGTGAAGCGCGATGCCAAGTGATCGAGCAGGTGCGCGATCGCGCTTCCTTCCAGGAATCGATCATCTGGAAATGGTAGACGCGAGTCTAGACATCATCTCAGCAACGGTTCCTTTCGCGAGAATCCGATTGAACGATCGGCTTTTACCGATCGCTACCCTAATTGCGGCGGACGTCTTAATTAAGTGCAAGATCCACTTGCACGATGCGGGGTCTCGCGGAACGGTTCCCTCTTCGTCTTGTCCAGCTACGCGAGATACGTACCTGCTCGAGTTTGAATCGCGATTCGCCTGGACGCGTAATTAGTCGTTCATTAGCGATATTACTTTCGTTATACGAGCGTCTTTTCTTCGCGTGCAAAATTGCACGGCCGGCTTCGCGTTGCTCCGTTCGTTTTATCGAAAACTTGACTGCGTCAAGTGTCGGGGCCGGAGAAACGTTCGCCTGACGTTAATTGCAGTTCGAGTTCGAATCGGACACCGCGTGTAGCGCGCAAAAGTCGCAGACTATATAACGATTTGCCGTCAACTTTTTATAACTTTGCATATACTTGATTTCAGATGATACTTGCATCCTTTGATGCTCGATAGGGATTCGCGCACTGAGAAAAAAATCTGGTTGCATTAATTAGAGTTCTCGTAGATTCAACCGGTATGTCTGTTGGAAAATGGACGAACCAGAATTCTTGTACGAATTACCAGATGAATCTGATTAATTTCTTCCTGTTAAATTTACCAAATTTTCTGGTTAATAATACTAAACTCGCCACCACCAGGTCGTCTAAAATTTTTTCCATCTAATCTCAAAAATCTGTTTAATATTCTGAATTCCAACAAGATTATTGGATAAGTTCAATCCAGATTATTGAATAAATTATTTTAAGTTCAGTTTGTTAGAAATTAAACTGCACTGAGAAAAAAATCTGATTGCATTAATTAGAATTCTCGTAGATTCAACCAGTATGTCTGTTGGAAAATGGACGAACCAGAATTCCTGTAGGAATTATCAGATGAATCCGATTAATTTCTTCCTGTTAAATTTACCAAATTTTCTGGTTAATAATACTAAACTCGCCAGCACCAAGTCGTCTAAAATTTTTTCCATCTAATCTCAAAAATCTGTTTAATATTCTGAATTCCAACAAGATTATTGGATAAGTTCAATCCAGATTGTTGAATAAATTATTTTAAGTTCAGTTTGTTAGAAATTAAACTGCACTGAGAAAAAAAATCTAATTGCATTAATTAGAATTCTCGTAGATTCAACCAGTATGTCTGTTGGAAAATGGACGAACCAGAATTCTTGTAGGAATTACCAGATGAATCTGATTAATTTCTTCTGTTAAATTTACCAAATTTTCTGGTTAATACTAAACTCGCCATCACCAGGTCGTCTAAAATTTTTTCCATCTAATCTCAAAAATCTGTTTAATATTCTGAATTCCAACAAGATTATTGGATAAGTTCAATCCAGATTATTGAATAAATTATTTTAAGTTCAGTTTGTTAGAAATTAAACTGCACTGAGAAAAAAATCTGATTGCATTAATTAGAATTCTCGTAGATTCAACCAGTATGTCTGTTGGAAAATGGACGAACCAGAATTCCTGTAGGAATTATCAGATGAATCCGATTAATTTCTTCCTGTTAAATTTACCAAATTTTCTGGTTAATAATACTAAACTCGCCAGCACCAAGTCGTCTAAAATTTTTTCCATCTAATCTCAAAAATCTGTTTAATATTCTGAATTCCAACAAGATTATTGGATAAGTTCAATCCAGATTGTTGAATAAATTATTTTAAGTTCAGTTTGTTAGAAATTAAACTGCACTGAGAAAAAAAATCTAATTGCATTAATTAGAATTCTCGTAGATTCAACCAGTATGTCTGTTGGAAAATGGACGAACCAGAATTCCTGTAGGAATTACCAGATGAATCTGATTAATTTCTTCCTGTTAAATTTACCAAATTTTCTGGTTAATACTAAACTCGCCATCACCAGGTCGTCTAAAATTTTTTCCATCTAATCTCAAAAATCTGTTTAATATTCTGAATTCCAACAAGATTATTGGATAAGTTCAATCCAGATTATTGAATAAATTATTTTAAGTTCAGTTTGTTAGAAATTAAACTGCACTGAGAAAAAAATCTGATTGCATTAATTAGAATTCTCGTAGATTCAACCAGTATGTCTGTTGGAAAATGGACGAACCAGAATTCCTGTAGGAATTATCAGATGAATCCGATTAATTTCTTCCTGTTAAATTTACCAAATTTTCTGGTTAATAATACTAAACTCGCCAGCACCAAGTCGTCTAAAATTTTTTCCATCTAATCTCAAAAATCTGTTTAATATTCTGAATTCCAACAAGATTATTGGATAAGTTCAATCCAGATTGTTGAATAAATTATTTTAAGTTCAGTTTGTTAGAAATTAAACTGCACTGAGAAAAAAAATCTAATTGCATTAATTAGAATTCTCGTAGATTCAACCAGTATGTCTGTTGGAAAATGGACGAACCAGAATTCTTGTAGGAATTACCAGATGAATCTGATTAATTTCTTCCTGTTAAATTTACCAAATTTTCTGGTTAATAATACAATCAAGTGATTTTTAGGGATCGAAAGAAAGGCGCGTCGGGATCAACGTACCTGACGAAATAATAACAACGAACGACGACTTCTCTGCCAATGTAAATCGTAAAAATAAACGCAATAGCGTAAAAACAATTGCGTTTAATGAGAAGATAATTAACGGTAAAAAAAAAACTGGCGCGACGATATCCGAGATTAGAGTGACGTTTGTGGGACAAAAATGAATGGGCAATTACGACCGTCCTGCGACGATACGGTCACCTATGTCATTAATGAGAGCTCATTACGCATCAAATTAATTATCCTCGATTATTATCTTACAACGACGACCACGACCACAACGTGGACGACGACGACGACGATGACGACGAAGACGACGACGAAGACGACGAGGACGTCGGTCCATCTAATTAACCGATCCCCATCTCTCTCGCCGCCAGGAAAGTGCAGCGTTCTTAATATCCGTGCAAATTTGCGGATGCACATTGTTGCCAGCGAATGCCGGAGCGCGCACATGCGATGCATGCAAACCCGGCTTTACGGGTGGGTCGGTCCGGTCGGCCGATCGATATATCGAGTGGTTCTTGCCAACAACGCCGACGTCGCTCCACCTTCACGGCATACGCTGATAACAAGAGGGAACGATGTTTTACCGAACCGCGCCTCGTCCTGTCTCTCCCTCCAATTGTTAATTAATACGGCATTAATTTCAGAGCGTCGCATCTCTCGCGATTATACCTCTACAGGGTGTCTCTTTTGTGCGAAAAGATTCTCTGAAAATCTCCTGTGATTTTTCCGATATTTTTGTTTCGAATTCCAGATAAAGAGATTAGTTTTGAAATTCTTCGGTACGATTTTTTTAAATAAATTTCGAAAAATACAAAGCCTCTTCAATTTTTTAAAGCATTAGATTTTAAACCGGAAAGAAAACTGAATAATTTTCCTAAGATCATTTTTCGCTTGCGTACAATTTTAATTTTCTTTCATCACTAAAAATTATATAATAAAAAATATAAAAAATAATATATATATATACTTAAATAATTTTGCTTGCTGATGCTTAAATAAAAAAAATGATTAAGAAAAAAAAAAAATTAATAAAATTTCTAAAAAAAAATTGTTATTTTCTAAAAAACCTCTGAGAAATCTAGATTTTCCAGGGAATAGACACCCCCTATCTTGGTGAACGTCAGATATAAACTCCATGATTTTTTAACGCAAAAAATGTAAAATTAATAATCAATTTTTTCCTATAATATATAAACATTTTTCTGACTACAGAAATTGGCGACGATGGCGTTGGTTCGCGGAAAGTGGCCGCCGTCTAAATTTAGAGGGGCGCGAACACAATATTACGAATACAGCGGGCAGCGAGAGACGAGCAGCTGCGGCTCTGTAATTAATCGGAGCCAACGATGGCCTGTCTGTAATTGGATCCGCTGCATCACACGGCGCAGCCGCGATGAAAAGTAAACAGGCTCTACGCTTTCGGATCCCCCGACTATTTCGTTGCACCCCCCACCCCTTCCCGCGAATTAACGATCTCTCATTAACGATACTCTGCCTCTGGAACGCGATTCCGCCATCTTTCCATCGTCCCAAACGTGCGACGTTAAGAAGAGAACCAGTTTTCAATCTCTCAAGTAATTTTTCCCATAATTCATGTAAACGAGCATTAAGCTAGTCGTTTTTTCTTCTCGCAAGAATCAGAAAGAGAGAGAGAGAGAAAGTGCGAGGGGTCGAGGGTGAAGAAGGCAAGAAATGAGCAGACGGGAAACCAAGAAGAGGGAACCACTTCGCACTCTCGACGCAATAAAAACCTCCATGCGATATTTATCGCGCTTTCCGCCCCCTCGACCTTCCCTTCCTCGCGACCGCCGTTTTTACGGGATTTCACGAGACTTTTTTGCCCTCCTCTCAGCCCGGGGGACGGCTCTCCTTCCTCCCTTCCCCTCTTACTTTCTCCCCTCGTGTCCCACCCTGACGGACGTGCTGACATAATTCTCTCTCGCTTATCTCGACGCGATATTTCTGCCGACCCCGCAATTTTATCTGCAGTCGCCGATCAGCCATGGAACGAGGAGCGCGTCCAGGCAATATGGTTGTTGAAGAGCTTCT